GGGGGGGGGGGGGGCTGCACCACACAGGTTGTGGGATCTTAGTTCCCCCAACCAGGGATTTACTGAACCCAGGCCCTCAGCAGTGAGAGCACGGAGTCTTAACCACTGGACCGCCAGGGAATACCCCCTATCCATCCCTAAGCCTTCTCCAGTCCCTCCCACGGGGGACCATGCTGTGCCCCAGCGTCTGCCCGGCTCGCAGTCACTCACAGTGCCCTCCAGCGGCTGGTAGTAGGCGGTGAGGGTAAAGATGACCATGGCGCACAGATAGGAGGCCACGTTGATGTAGAAGGAAACAGCCCCAAACTTTCGCCACTTGTCCCGAAGTAGCTCATTGATGGGTTCCACGGCCAGCATCTCGTGGCGATTCTGCAGAAGGCAGGGTGGCCAGGGGGCTACACGGGCTGACTCCAGTACACCTTCCCCCACCCGCTGCCCTGGGAGCACTTTTTCCTCCTAATTTACTCTTCAACGACACCCAAACTTCTGGGCTCAGCATTCGAGGCTCTGCCCAATTCTGCCCCAACTTACCTTTCTAGACTCATAGAACCCAGAGCTAGAAAGATCCCTAAAGAATATCTATTCTTGTGGTCCCCAAACTCCAATCTGTGGATGATGCCAAGCCACCGGCAGCAAAATCACCTGTGGAGCTTGTTAAAAATATAAATCCCTGGGTTTCAACCTCAGAAATTCTGATTCAGGAAGTGGGACTTGGAAATTTGGCCCAAGGATAATAAATATTTGACTCACCACAATTTTCCAACTCTGAACCCAGGACAGACATCAGTAATTGAGTCCCACACAATAGTTCTCTATACAGTTCCCTGGGCAGACACTACCAATCAATCAGAGTTTGCAGCAGAGATGCTAAACTTCCCACCGCCCCCAATCTAAATCAAGTTGGTCACTAATTTCAAAGATGAGGGAAGTGAGCTCTGGTAGGGGAAACCATCTGTCCAAGCTCACAGAGCCAGGGCTAGAAGGGAGACCTTCTGCACCCAGGACCCAGCACTTTCTGCCCCATTTGTACAGCATCCTGTCCCTTTAACGACTTGAGTTTCTTTATCATCAAGGATTTGTGCAATTATGTAGTCACAAAGATGCCACTGCAGTGTTATTCCTGATAGTTAAGTGCAGAAACAAACCCAAATGACCAAGAATAGAGGAATGGTTCATTAGAATGTGGTACATTTCCACACAGCAATGATATTGCAGAATATTTAATGGTGCAGAACGATGTTCATAAAATACTCCTAAGTTAAAAAAAAAGAGAGCTTTTAAAAACTTCATATAACAAATGCTAATGATAATAGCTGACACATAATGTTTACCCTGCGCCAGGCTGTTCACTTGGTCCTCCCGGCAACCCAATGAGAAATGCTCTATCTTTATCCACATGGTACAAAAGAGGAAGCTGCAACTCAGGTTGGGTAGTTTGTCCTGAGTCATACAGCACGTAAGTTACAGAGCCAGGATTCTGAACCAGTCCTGCTTGCCTCTGAAGGTCGACCCTTACAACCTCTCATTTCCCCCCAGTGCCAGATGCTGTTCTGGGCACTTAGTTGGTCTCTTCTTCTGTATCCAGTTCACAGACCCACCATTTTGGGCCCCTCCTTCACTGGGCCCCATCTCCTGCCCTGATGCCTACCTCAATCTTGCTGTTGTACACCAGGATCTCCAGCACAGAGGCCTCTTCCCCACACGTGTCCAGGGAGGAGAGGTCATAGAGTGAGGAATACACTGGCCCATAGGCCCAGTCCTTGAACTTGCGGGACAGATGCCTGGTGTCCTCGTCTGTCACCTCCCGACGGATGATGTGCTGAAAGATCTGCATGGGAGGAGGGAGGGTCAGGGGGTCCTCTGGGGGGCGGGGAGCACTGCTGCTGGGCCACACACATTGGAGGGACCCTGGGAGCTTGGTCAGCCCATCAGATAGCACCTCCCCAGAGAGCAGGATGGAGGGAAGGGTAAAATATTTACTGAGCACCTGCTGTATGCCGGACCCTTTCCTCACATCATCTTGTTTATTTCCTACCCTTACCATCCTGGTTGACAGATGAGCAAACAGAGGCTCAGAGAAAAGAAGGATGTTCCCTGAGGCCGCACAGCCCACTGAATCCAGACTGAACCCAGGTCAGCCTTAAAAATCTGAGTTGTCATGAGTATCTTCTTTACATAATTAAAACAGCAATTAATCAATCTTACTGATCAGGTAAATCTAGTAATAATTATCCTATTCGGTCTTTCTTATTGCTACTCCCACTATCTCAGGCTTACACACAGGGGAACTGGGCAACAGATCCAGGTGGGAGTCCCCCCAGGCCACAGAGTTCAATAGGCAAAGCCAGATTTTAAACCCAGGCCTTTTCTACTGCCTCAGGACTCTGGCATAATTGTGATTTTAGTAATTTTTTGCTATATTTTTAATAGAGGAATAATAACCCTTACCGATTACTGAGCACTTATTACCCATCCCAGGATCTTTATTAACAGCTTTAAGTGGATCACCTCATTGAGTTGTCAGAACACCATACCACAGGGCACTATTGTTATCCCCATTTTACAGATGAGGAAACTGAGGCACAGAGCGGTGACATGCCTGAGGTGACATGCTGGGAAGTGCCAGAGCCTGGCCTTGGACCCAACAACCCCTGACTCTACAGAACCCCAGATTTGGTTCTCAATCAGGTCGATGGGTGCCCCACCCAGGGGACAATTTGGCAATGTCTGGAGACATTTGAGGTTGTCACAATCGGTGGGGGGTACTACTGGCATCTAGTGGGTCGAGGCCAGGGATGCAGCTAAACATCCCACAGTGACACAGAGCAGCCCCACGTCCCAGAACATCCAGACCCAAATGTCACTAGTGCCCAAGCTGAGAAATCCTGCTCTAGGCCCTGTGCTGTGAGGCCAGAGAGGGAAGCAACTGGCACACAGCCACTCAGCAGGTTAGAGGCTGCCATGGAGTAGAGGGGAGTACAGCAGGGCTGCAGCTTTGGGACTCAGTTCTCTGTCAGTGGCTTGCCCTGGCTGGTGGGAATGGGGCAGTGAGCATCCAATGGGGTGGGATGAGCAGAGAGGCTCTGGGATGAGGTTGAATAGCTTGGCTGGACAACAGGGAGCCACAGCAGATTCTTGAGCTGGGACATCTGCACACTGGGGTTGGCAGGATGGGAGGTGGGTGTGCACATTAATAATAATGCATGCCAGCAGCAGTCCCTCCCCTGTGTGTGTGTGTGTGTGTGTGTGTGTGTGTGTGTGTGTGTGTGTGTGTATGGAGGGGCAAGAATGGGTGTGTGCCCCCGGCCCTGCACTCACCCCAATCTTGCCCGTCTTGGCGGCCATCATGAGGGGCGAGAGGCCGTCGTTGTTGAGCACGGCCTCCAGGTTGCTGTCAGGGAAGAGGCGGGCACACTTGAGCAGCAGCAGGTCGTACATCTTGGTGACGAACTTGGTGTTCTCACGAGTGTTGTCAGCGATGGCCACCAGTGCGTGCAGCACTGTGTTGCCACGAGAGTCCTGGCGCCGCATGTCCGCCTTCTTGTGTGGGTTCTCTGTCAGGTAGTTGACGATGTGGGGCTGGTTGGTGCAGGCCGCCAGCGACAGGGGCAGCTCACCTGTGGGTGAGGGGGTGGTCAGTGACGGGGCCCCGGGGGCGGACACTCGGGGCAGACACCGTGACAATGGATGCTGTGCCCACGGTCAACGTGGACGAGCCCCGGCTGACTGCACGTGTCTGGAGGCGATGCCCCCGGGTAGACAGGGGTGGGGTGGGGGGGGCGTCGTGTGACTTGGAGGCTGTGAGGGATTCTTTAAGGGACTTTGTGCCTGAACCCCAAATAACATGTGCCTTTGAGCAGAGGTGAAATTTAAAATCTTTCATGGGTCCAACTGGGACATGGCGGTGATGGAATTTGGGCCCTGCAATCCGACCATCAGTCCCAGCTTAAGTCAGACTGGAGGATGCGAGTGTTAAGGGGCGGGGACACCCATCACAACCCTCTCATCCCGTCACGATCCCCACTGTAGAGATGGGGAAACTGAGGCTCAGGGCAGTGTGGTGATGCTCTACTCCTCAAAGACAAGACCTCAGTGACCAAGACCAGTAAGGCGGCCTGTGTACCGGGTGCTGTCTGGGCCCGTGGCCAGCGCAGCCCTGGCTGTTTGGGGAGGGGTCAGGGCTGCCAGCACCACCATAGGCCCCCAGCCCCCAGCCTCTCCCCCGTGGGCCCCAGGCCCCACCGGGCCCCTCCTCACCGAAGTAAAAGTAGCCTCCCTCATCCTTGGGCTGGAAGAAGCGTCCCCGGGCCTGGGCGTGAACGTCGGCACCTTGGGCCACCAGGAGCTCTACGTAGTGTTTGCAGCGGCGCTCGATGGCGATGTGCAGGGCGGTCTGGCCTGGGATGGGGTGAGGGACAGTCACTGGGGGCAGAGACCCAACCAGTCGTGGGAGGCGCTGGAGTGCAAAAGGGAGAAATCCACCCAAGGGCAGCAAATAGACCTTCAGACATTCCCGGATGTGGAGTCTCTGATGCCCAAGGTCCCAGATCTGCTGCATCGTGCAAGCAGAATCTTAGGCTCAAGGGATATCCAACTTGGAGGGTCCCAAATGTGGGAACTTTTCAGACTCATAAGAGGTTTTCATCCTAGAGGAAACAACGGCATCATGGTCTCACAGAATTTGGGATATAAAATTCACATCCTTTGAATCTGCATATCCAGGAATCTGGAAGGTCAAGTTGGATTCATAGATCTCAGAATTTAGACCCAGGGAGCTGGCACTGGTGACACCTGTGCCTTTCTGAGCTGTTGGCTCATAGAACTACTGCAACAAAGCCTCAGAGTACCCAGAACCTGAGCATCTTGGGTCCAGATTTCCAGGTTCATGGCTCCTTTGGCTCATTGCATCTGAGAACCTTGGAACCTTTCATTCTGAAATTCAGAATATCCAAGTTGGAAGGGGTAGTTATTGTTCTTTCGTCCGTTCATTCATTCATTCAACAACTGGTTCCTGGGGACGTGCTGGCACTTGGGGCCCAGACTGAAGCTCTCAGTTGGGGGGATGGTTGGACAAGTGAAGACAGTGCCCCCCTCCCGCCCAGCCCAGGGCCTCACCTCGGTAGTAGATGTCCCGGAAGGGCGAGTTGATGAATTCACGCATGTTGCCGGTGCGCTCAGCGATGTCCAGAAGCACAGGGATTGTGTCGTTGCGGCCGTTGCTCAGATTCAGCAGGGCTTTGGGCAGGCAGGTCTTCCCCGTGGATGGCTCTGTGAGGAGAGACGTGCAGGAGAAGGGGCGCTTGGCCCGTGGCCCAAACTGCTGGGCAGCTGTGGACAGGGCACTGGGCAGGGAGCCAGAGGTCCTGGCCGTGTCGGTCCTCCTCTCCAAGCCTGTTCCCTATCTGCTCCCCATGGTACTGAGAAGGTCAAATAAACTCAGAGGAGCAGAAGTTTGTTTGTTTGTTTGTTTGCTTTTTGCGGAACGCGGGCCTCTCACTGTTGTGGCCTCTCCCGTTGCGGAGCACAGGCTCCGGACGCGCAGGCTCAGCGGCCATGGCTCACAGGCCCAGCCGCTCCACGGCATGTGGGATCTTCCTGGACCGGGGCACGAACCCGTGTCCCCTGCATCGGCAGGGGGACTCTCAACCACTGTGCCACCAGGGAAGCCCAGGAGCAGAAGTTTTTTAAAACGTGGGAAGCTGCAGCCTGTAGAGAGGTTGGTGTTTACCAAAGCATATTTGGAGAGAATTTTTAAAAATCAAATAAAAAGGGGGAATACTGGGTTAAACAAAGCCAACCGTATTTCTTCACTACAGAACTTCTCAGAACCTTTAATCTGTTAATGAGGACTGTGAACCTCTAAAAGCAGACCCAGCAGGCAGTCTTTGCCTGCCTATTTGCACATAGATCCTTTTCCCGTGAAGCGATTACACTAGTGCCCCTAGAGGGAGTGCAGCATTCCCCAAAGTGGAGGCTGTGAGCCATAGCGAACGTGAAATTACCTTCGAGGATTTGGGGGCTTCTGCAGATGCAGCAATAATAACAGTAAAAACCCGAGCGTGCAAGGTTTCATCCGCTTGTCAAATCCCTCCTGTGAAGTCAGTCTTCGTTTTGTACTAATGGGTCCTTAACACCTCCCACTAATGTTTACTGTCCCTTTGCAATTTTCTTTCCCTTGTATTAATTTTTATGGTGACAGGAATTGATTTATATATTTCAAAGAGCGAGTCAATGAAAAGAGAACTTACCTGTGAATCAGGCAGGGGGCAAAACGGCCAGATGCAGGAAGGGGATCAGGAAAGGGATGAGGAATGCGAAAGGCAGGTGTGGGCTGAGGGGCCTGCTCTGGAGCCAGGTCTTTGGGGGCTCGAATTAGGCTTTGCTCCTCATTTCTGTGTGACCTTTTCTGCTTCAGTTTCTTGTCTAGCTAAATTGAGGCTACAAAGGGAAATTGTGGGACTTCCCTGGTGGTGCAGAGTTTAAGAATCTGCTTGCCAATGCTGGGGACGTGGGTTCGATCCCTGGTCCAGGAAGATCCCACATGTCACGGAGCAACTAAGCCCATGCGCCACAACTACTGAGTCTGCGCTCTAGAGCAGGCGAGCCACAACTGTTGAGCCCGCAAGCCACAACTACTGAAGTCCACGCGCCTAGAGCCTGTGCTCCTCAACAAGAGAAGCCACGGCAATGAGAAGCCTGCACACCACAACAAAGAATAGCCCCTGCTCGCTGCAACTAGAGAAAGCCCGCGCGCGGCAACAAAGACCCAATGCAGCCATAAATAAATAAACTTATATATATATAAAAGGGAAATCGTGAGCTAATAGGTATTTGTTGATGAGCCCAGAGCCAGGCAGATAGGAGTCTTCAGTAAGTAATACTGCTGCATTTATTACTCCACGAGAAATGCTTTAGAGCCTCTCCTTGGGTGCTGGGAAGTGGGGAAAACCGCTCCTAGGAGTGAGGTTGCTCGGACAAGCCTTGTTCTGGTTACTTTTCGCTACACCCCTGGCACCCAGCCCAGAGTCAGACACCAGGTAACTATGTACCAAATGATAACGGACTCCAGTTCCCCATCTGCATAAGGGGGAGGGGACCCCAAACGCTGGCCGAGGCCCCTGGGGATTCTGTCCAGACACACCGGCACTCAGGGGAACCTCAATCAGTCCGTTTCCAATTGTCAGGCAACTTATGATTCTCCATGCTGACCTCGTCATCTTTCCCTCCCCAAAGCCCAACCTGGTCTGCATGTGTCCCCTCCGTAGATGATGGTGTCCCCAGCCAGCCAAAACTTTTGTGTCACTCTTATCTTTGTCCTCCCTTCTCCCCACATCCAGCAAGTCCCACAAATTTGACCTATTTCTCCAACCCCTCCACCACGCTCCATCTCCACTGCCGCCAACCTGGCCCAGCCACCATTTCTCTCACATGCCTGGTTTCCACCAGCCTCTCTGGACATCCTTTAATCCACTTTCCACATAGCGACTGAGTCCAACTCTGGTCATGGTTAGCCACAGGGCCTTTGCACATGCTGTTCTTTCACCTCCTCTCTAATCCTTCCTCCACCTCTTTTTACCTGGCTAACTGCAATTCATTCAGACTCAGCTCAAGTGTCACCTCCTCCCAGAAGTTCTCCCAGATTTTCCTGATTAAGTCAAATTGTCCAGTACAGCCTCCTGTGGACACACATTAGTTTGTAACTGTGTATTTATTTCTGTGATTGCTTGATCAAGTTGGTCTCACCCTCGAGACTGAGAGCAACTGGAGGACAGGGTCATATCTGCTTCACTCACCACTTTCGCCCCACACCAGCACAGAGCCTGACACTTGGTAGGTGCCCAATAACCACTTGTTGAATTAATACACATTCAGCGAAGGGGCAAGCTGGGCACTGCAGGGAATTCCAAACCACAGGAGCTCAAGTGGTTTGTGTGGGATGTGGAACTAGACCCTGGATCTGGACTTCCACACCCCCAGGCCCAGGCTGTAGCAGGGTCCGGGGCTGCCAGCCTGGGTCCTGGTATAAGACACGAAGAACGGCAGCTACCCAGAAATGGGGAGGGGTTGCAGTTACGGACTCCACCAGCAGGTGGCGAAGTGGCTCTGCCCACGAGGGGATGAGGGGAGGCTGGAGCCAAGGGCCCTAAGTTAACTGCCAAGTTGGAGGTTGTGTGTGGGCGGAGGGGAGGGCCGGTCACTGACTCCCCTAAGAATCAATGAGCTCACGAGCCTCTGGCTAGAAAAACACGCAGGGGCAAATCCAGGTTTGGGGGAGCCTGAGACTTACACAATTTGGGGATCCTGTTAATGAAAGCGAACACACAATTACAAGTTCCAGATTAGGTCCAGGGCTACAAGGGGCCAGAGCAAGCAAGGGGCCTGAAGCCTAATTAATGGGCCTCACGGTAAATCCCCCTCTACAGATGCATTATTCTGTACAATTTCAGGGCCCTCTCCCAGCCTATCTTAGGGTCCCCCGCCCACCCTCATGCAGACACACTGGCCTGGGGGTTCCCAGCCTAGGCTTAGAGGCCCCTTTCAGCTCAGTCCTGAACTCAGAAGCCAGAAGCCTTGGCAAGCCCAGCCTGATGCTGCTCTGTCCGCCAAAGCACAGGCACCATGATCCCCATCTCACAGGGGTTCACTCCACCCCAAAGCTCCCCACTTTTGCCTGGTGAACTTGGGGGGCCAGGCGGGGCCATTTGGTTGGGGCTTAAATGTGGGTTATCGCCAAATGAGATTCACACCATCATGGAGACCCTCTCTGCAACTCTAAGCTCGTGCCCCAAACGAGGCCACAGCACCTGGCTGGGCACCATGAATGAATATTTTTTGTAAGTCCGGTAATTCTCTTCTGATGGACACAATAATACAGCATCGTATCATTTTGGTGTTCAAAGAATCTGGTTGATAAAGGTATACGTGAAAAAGATACCGCAGACCCGGTCAGCCTACTTTCACACTTAATTTACTTGAAGTACCTAAAGTCTCCAAAAATGGCCCCTGATCTCCCTGAAGCTTCGTCAGCCCCGAGGTGCCACAATTCTCGACATTTTATATGCATTTGTGGGGTCACTCGGCCAGTTAATTACAGCTCACCTGGCACCCGGCACTTAGCAGGTGGCTGACTTGGGTGGAGAGGCTCACAGGCCACCTTCCCCGATTTGCAGGGAAGCCCTGGGGTAGCGGAGGGAGCTAGTGCCCGAGGTGGGTGTTCTGAGCCTGGACGAGGCTGGAGAGTGAGCTGTCTGGGCTGAGTAAGTCCCAGGGCAATGGTGACTGGGCTCCAGCCTATAGCGGAGAGCCAGAAAGCTGGGCGGGGAGGGGAGCAGAGCATCAGAAGCAGAAGCAGGAATGCCCTGCTCCCCACTCCAGAGCTCCCCTCAGAGGGGGCAGCAACTCCTGGGACCCCAGCTGCCTTGTGCTTGGCACTATGGAATTCTCTGTCCTCAGAGGCCAGGACTATGCTATTATTATTCCCCAGGGTACAGATGAGGAAACTGAGACCCAGAGAGGCCACACGTCCCTTAAGTGGTAATGGTGGGATTTGAATCCAGGTGGGTAATCTCTGCTCACCTATGACACTAATCTTTTCATAAATGAAGGCTGAATGAATGAACAAAGAAAGGCAGCAAAGGCCCAGAGAGGTTAAGTAATATGGTAAAGGACACACAGGACCAGACTCCCTGTCCAGTGCTCTTCCTGGCTAGTGCAGCCCACTAACCCAAGGGAAAATGCTCAGGGGAAAGGGGGCCCCCAATGCCAGGCCTCCCCCAACCCCCAGCTGGCCCACCTGCTATTCCTGGGTGGCTTACCCCGGAACTCCTCGTCAGTCAGCCGCTTCTTGTGGGTCAGCAAGAAGGGGAGCAGCCCGTCCAGGTCAGCGGTGGAGCCCCGAGACACGATGTCAAAGAGGATAGGCCGGTTGAAGACTTTGAGTATGGGAGGCGGCTGGGGCGTGGGAGCTTTGGGGCTCTGTGGCTGCTTCCTGAAGCGGGGGGAAGCCGGGTGATAGGAGGGCTCATCCTCTGCCCACTCCACAGTCTCTAGCCTTAGGGGCCCAGGGATCAGGTGGTGGGGGCAGCTGGAGCCCTAAGGAGGGACCAGACTGAGAGGAGAAAGACATCTGGAGACACAAAGGAATGTTTTATCCCAATAGACTCTACCTGGTACCTGTGCGTTGGTTGGAGACAAAGAGAAAGAAACACACAGCCCACCCGTCCACCCACCCACCCATCCACCCATCCATCCATCCATCCATCCATCCATCCATCCATCCACCCACCCACCCACCCATCCATTCATCCATCCATCCATCTACCTATCCATCCATCCATCTATCCATCCATCCATCCATCCATCCATCCACCCACCCATCCATTCACCCATCAATCCACTCATCCATCCATCTACCTATCCATCCATCCATCCACCTATCCATCCATCCACGCACACACCCACCCATCCACCCATCCATTCTCCCATCCATCCATCCACCCATCCACACACCCACCCATCCACCCACCCACCATCCAACCATTTGTCATTTACTAAGTACTTAAGAATCCAGAGACTGGAAGAGACAAAGATAGTAAGAAAATAAAGGAGGAACACCAGACTAAAAGATAAAGCAACTCTATCTTTTATTCAATCATTCACTCCTTGATTTATTCATTCAACAAACATTTGAGACAAATGAGGCCACGCACATAGGTGCTTAGTCCAGGCCCCACCAAAGTAAACACCCAATAAATGTTAGCTGATATTCCTGTTATTATTTAGCGCCTACTGTGTGTCCAGAGTCTGTATGTGTGGGAGAAATGCCGAGCTACAGAGGCAGGTGGAGACAGAACAAGATGGAGAGGGCTGGGGGAGAGGAAGCGATGGGGAAAGAAAAAACGGAAAAAACACACATTCATTCAGTCATTCAATAAACACTCATTGGGCACCTACTGTGTGCTAGGTTTTGAGAGCCAAAGAGCTGGAGCAGCAGCAGCCCAGGGGCACCGTGAGGGCAGGGACGCCCTGTGTCATGTCCTCACGCACCCAGTGCCCGGAACATACAAGGACGAAGAACAATCTGTGAAATGAAGACAGGATGGAGAAGAGAAAGAGGTGGAGATGGGGAGGGAGAGGAGGGGGCGTAGGGGAGCAGAGAGTGACCCACGACAGAGGTGGCAGGGCCAGGGGGCGAAGGGACACTGAGGCAGGGGCTTCAGGGCAGAGAAGGCCAGCGGCTCACCAGGGGGAGTGGACAGCCGCTCTCCCTCCTTCCTCTGCCCGGGCCCCAGATTTTACACCCCAGGGCAGGGCCTCCAGTGATGGGGGGCCAGGGAAGGGGGAAGAGGTGATTCCTGACGGCGGGGGCACACAGGCTAGGGCAGCCCCCATTTTATCTGCTCCTGAACTGTGACCTTTGAGCCAAAAAATGAGATGAAGTAACATCCTCGCCCTCAATCCTCACCGAGGCAGCCTTCGGGGTCTCTGAAGACCTCAGCCGCTTAGCCACCTCCCAACTCCTCTGCGGCCCCCCCCCCAAAGCCATTGGCCCTGGCTGTCTGGGGTAATGGTGGGGATGAGGGCTTGAAGCAGGGGATCTGAGGGAGGGGAAAGGGAGACAGGGAGCCCACCAGCTTCCAATGGGACCTTGGAGGGATGGGACACCAGGGCACTTTGCTGCCCTGGGCCTGTTTCCACCTCTGAGTGGAGGTTATGCAATTTGTCCAGTACAGCATGTGGACTGCGAGGCCCCACTTCTTGGATACATTGAGCCCCTCTAGCCTTGGGCCCCTGTGCATGCACTTCCCTCCACCTGGAACACCTTCCTCCCACCACCCCCGCTGTGTGGCTGCCCTTTTTCACCCCTTAGCGTTGGGCTTAAATGTCAGCTGCTCCAGGAAGCCCTCCTGGACTACCTTTTCTGTATCAGCTCCCCTCTCCCACCTCAGCACCTCCCCAAAAGTGAACTGTCTAATCACTTGCTTATTACCTGTCTTGTCCTCCAAACTGAAGGTACCAGTGACAGATACTCAGAGTCTGAGCCGAGTAGGGGTAACATCTGTTCTGACTCACCCCTGGAGCCCCAGGGCCAACCGCCCTACCTGGCATGTGGTGGGTGCTCCAGAAACGGTCACCGAACAAATCGGCGGCTCAGTGAATAAATAAAGGAAACAAAGCAAGGGCTGAGGAGGTGAGTGGGCTTCATCCAAGGGCATAAATGAGTCTGTGATCAGCAAGGGGGAACAGAGGAGGACCAGGTGACAACAGGACATCTGCAGACTTCAAGACTCCCCTCCAGACACACACAGAGGCCTGAGAGAGGTTTTCATGGGCGGATGGCTGGGCAGAGAGATAGCAGATGAGTAGATGAGTCGATAGATATTTGAATGAGTGATGATGGATGGATGGACGGACTGGACAAGTGGATGGGCAGATGGAAAGGTGGGTAGCTGATGACAGAGAAAGAGAGTGAAAGAGAAACAGAGAACAAAAGAAAGACATGGAAATGAAATGAATGAATGAATTATGAATAGTTTGATAGCTGACTGGCTGGATGAACAGAAACAGTGACTAGGTGGGAGAATGGATGGATTTTGGCTAAGTATATGGTGGATAAATGGAAGGTTTGTTGTATGAGTGGATGACTGGCCAGACAGATGACAGATGGATAGATGGGTAGATAGATATTTGAATGAGTAGATGATGGATGGATGGACGGACTGGACAAGTGGATAGCTAGGTGGAAAGATAGGTAGCTGGATGAATGAATGAGTAGATAATGGATGGATACACAGATGGATGGATATACAGATGGATGGATAAGTGGACAGACAGATGAATGGATAGACAAGTATACAGAAAGGTGGACAGATAGGTGGATGGATGGATGAGTGAATAGGTAGACGAATGAATGAATGGATAGAAGGATGGATGGATGGGTGGATGGATGGGTGGATGGGTGAATGGATGGATGGATGGATGGGTGAATGGATGGATGGATGGATGGATGGATGGATGGATGGGTGAATGGATGGATGGATGGATGGATGGATGGATGGATGGATGGATTCAATACAGAGGAGGAGACCCTCGGCCAGGCAGCCAGCGATACTCACTCTATGACCTTCCTCCTCCACCGCTTGTCACTGGGGTGCTGACGATAGGTGCCATAGTCAAAGAGCGAGTCCATGGGCGCCTTCTTGGGCCCAGGCACCACTGAGGACTCATACAAGGTGGACTCCAGCAGGTCGATGGGGTTGGGCACCCCCTTGCGGAAGGCGCCCTGGAACTTCATGCGCAGGTTTGGTCGCCCATCGCCTGGGCCGGCGGGGCGGCCACTATCAGCCGGAGAGGGCGACGGGGAGCCGTCCTCCCCCTCGAACAGGTTGGCCAGCGAAGAGAGGGGGAAGGCCTCCCCGCCGGGGATGCCACTCTCATCCCCGGGGGGCTCGGCTACCTCCGCAGGCCCCGCGCGGGGGCCTTCGCTGGGATCCGCCATGCTGCCCCTGGACCTGTCTGCACTGCTCTGCCTGCAAGGGAACAGGAGGGGAGTCAGGCCGGCTCCAGGAAGCCCCCTCCCACGTGGGCGAACAGCACTGCTGCCAGGTTCTTCAAAGCCACCGTTGTAATGACAGGGGTTCAGGGTGGCCACTCCCAGATGTGGTTGGCCGCCAGGCCCCGGCAGGAGCTGCAACAGAGCCTCTTTCAGGGACCTGGAAACATGAGTCTGCCTCAGGTCCAGCTACCCTGGACGTTAGCTGGAGGAGAAAGGGCATCAGAGTCACACTGGGTCCCCAGATCTGGAGCCTGGGGCTTACTCCTGGCCAACCAAGCCAGCTTCGGGGCCCCCAGAGCAGGGTTCAAGTTCCAAGCTCCACATTTAGCAACCGTGTGATGCGAAAGTGGATGGTTCACAGCCTCGGTTTCCTCACCTGTGAAATGGGGATGCTGAAGCAGAGAGCACATGTTCCAGTGGCCAGTGCCGTGCCTGCCACACCATAAGCACCTACTAAAACATAACCATCAAATCTATGCTTCAGGGACACTAGGTGCTCAGAAATACTCATGAACCCACTGTGGGAGTCAGTAGCCCTCAATTTCCCAGCACCATCATTATGACCCCATTTCACAGAACAGGAAACCAAGGTTCCGAGACTTTAGTTAACTTCCCACAGTGCACAAACTCTGCTCCCCAGTGCCAAGCGCTGACCCCTTCCCTCCCCTCTTTGCCTGGTTAACTCCTGCCCACCTGCGATCCCAGCTCATGTCCATTCCTCTGGGAAGCCCTCCCTGACCATTTGTTCATGAGATTAGTTAATTCCTGAGCTGTGAGCACCAGAAGATAGGGAATGCATCTGTTTAGTTCACTCCTGTGTCCCTGACACCTAGAAGGGTGCCACATGGACACACAACCTGATGACAAAGGTATTATTTGTTCCCATTTGTCAGATGAGGAAAATGGAGCTTTAAGAGGGGAAGTCACATCGCTTATAAGGAGAAGAGTTGGACTTGAACCCAGTTCTCTCTGGCTCCCAGGCCCAACTTTTAGCCAGGAGAAGGGCAAGGGAGGGACAAGGCCCTGCTGGCTGTCAGCCCCCTGCCCTCTGCAGCACGCCACTGGGAGGGCTAGACACCAAGGGCAAGTTTCCTGGAACTCCTACCATCCCACCCGGGCTGCAGGAAAATGTCTGGAAAGCCCTCTTTTCTATATCTCTCCATCCCCACACACTAGCAGAAAAACAAATAAAGATTGGTTCCCACCTTGTTTGTTTTGTGGCTTCCAGGAGGGAAGGCTAGGGCACTGCAAGAGGTCTCTCTTGGCAGGTGCAGCAGGACACACAGAGGATCAGAGCTCCTGCCAGGGACAGACCCCCTTCTAGGTACCAGAGGGTAGGGAGAGCCTAGATTTTAGAGTCTTCCAGTCCTGGGTTCTAACCCCAGCTCTGCTATTTATGTGCAGCATGACCTTGAGAAAGTGACCGTAGCTACCTGAGCCTCAGTTTCCTCGTTTGTAAAATGGGTACAATAGTAGTAGCTTTTTTCATACGTTTGCAGGAAGAAGTAAATGAGATCAGGCATGTCCAGTGTCAACCCTGGGATTAAACTGGGGGCTGTCAATGATTATAATCAAAGGAGTAAGTAAGGGTTAGGAGCACAGTTGCTGAAATCAGATATACCCAGTTCCCATCTTGGCCCTGGTTAATTAGCAGCTTTGTGATCCTGGGCAAATCACTTCCTCTCTCTGGGCCTCAGCTTCCCCACCTGTAAAACCAGGGTAACCACACCTCCTCCTAAAGCTCTTGGAAAATGCCAGTGCCCTCAGGAATTTGAAGCACCCACTTGATGCCAGCACTTAGTAGGACTTCAGGAGACATTAGTTCCTATCCACCTGCCAGGTGGGAAAGGGAGACCCCTAGTGGCTGCCACATGAGTCTGGGCTTAGTGATGCAGGAATGGGGGTATGTGGAGGCAGAGAGGGTGTCCACTGGGGTGCAGGCATTGAGGGGGAAGATTAGACTTCCCCCGGCCCAGTCCTGTTCACCTCAATGGGGACCCAGGGTCAGGGGAAGAGGAGGCATTGGGCACGTGCTTCTGCTGTCAACACCCTCCTCATTACTGCACCCCGTCCCAGGGCCCCACGGGGGCAGGACAGCCCCTGCCTTAGGGGGGGCCAGAAGAGGCAGCCGCTCAAACCCCCGCCATGCCTGCACCCCCTGCCCTAAGAAATCTCAACTCAGATGGCATCCAGGGTTTCTGGGGACTCCGCAACAGGGGGTCTGGAGTCAGCCAGCCCCAGGTTCAAATCCCCCCTCAGTCACTCACACACTGCTCGCAGCCTTGACGAGACACACAGAGGTCAATGCGAACATATTAATTATGGTAAAGTAGTAATTTTGAACTAAACCCCCCTCATCATCGTGATCACGTGGCTCTGATGGGCCCAAGTGCTTCATACACGCACTCTCGTCTGGTCCTCACTGCAAACTTAGACCAGCAGTTCTCAGCGGGGGGCTCTTCTGCTCCCCAGGGACACTCGGCAATGTCTGAAGACATGTTTGGTTGTCACACTGCGCAGAGGAGAGAGGGCTACTGGCATCTGGTGGGTCAAGGCCAGAGATAGTGCCAGACATCCTACAATGTACAGGACAGTCCCCACCACAAGGAACGACCCAGCCCAAAAAGTCAATAGTGCTGAGGTTGAGAAATCCTGCCCTGGAGGTAGGTACTGCTATAATTCCCCTTTCACAGATAAGGAAAGTGAGGCTCAGAGAGGTTAAGTGACTTGCCTGAGGCCACCCAGCAGGTTAGTGACAGAACCAGGATTCAAATCCTGGCAGTTGGCTGTGGAGCCTGGGCTACCCTAACCCCTCAGTTGAAGGCATGGCCTGGGAGCCAGGCGCCACACCAGACCCTTAGAATATCTTGTTCAAGGTGCACAACAGCCCTGGGAGGTAAGGGTTATTACTATCAGCTCATGCTAATCTCTCTGCGCCTTGGTTTCCCTAC